TGGCCAAACCTGCAGTTCCCTTCACCGAAGCCCCTGTAAATATGATCAATATGACATGGGCTGAGAAGGGAAAAGAAAGAATTACAAGGGAACCAGAAGATGAGAGATTGGCTGAAAAACCTACAGGATGGGTGATTAAATCACCCGAATATCCAAAAGCAGCCATAATCAAGGGGATGGTTATGTGTAGTAAGTGCCAATGCGAGTGTGAGCTCGAAATTCCCCCGGCTGGAATCTTCATTGATCATGAACTGATCAGGAGAAAGGAAGAAGACGTTAGAAGAGAAGCCCGCAAAAAGATTAAGCAGGCAACAAAAAAGGACACTTCCCGAATCGTTTTTCAACAACTAGGAGGTGATTCCCAACCCAAAGCTTTGTCAGAAGTATTTCGAAACCATGAAGTTTCTGAAAAAGCAGAAGATATGGAGGCCAAAATACGAAGGGGTGCAGATCATCCTCAATGTGGCCAGATGGGGAGGGAAATCAAGAGGATTGATGGCATGACCAATCCTGTTAGAAAAGGACATCCTGCCCACCTCGGGCGAAAATGGTACGTAGTCGGGAAGAACGGACAGCCTACCAAACCAATGGGAGCCTCCATGGTCAGGAGGGTTCAAAGGCAGCACAAAGCCTACATGAATTCCCTGAAGACCCCCACAACATCCGAAGCCTCTAAAAATCATAAGTTGGAGAAAACAGCATCTGAGGGAAGTAGTCAGCTCCATTGGAGAAGTAAGAAAGAGGTGGAAAAAGGCCAACAGCAAGACAGAAGGTGAGGGGGATCACGTGCCGCAGAGCCAACACCCTGGGAAGTATAGGATCTTGAGGAGAGCTCAAGAAGATCTAATCATGGTGCCAACCCCTGGGTGGAAGCCAGAGCCTATTTGCGTTAGAACCATTTCATCTGAAATGAGACTACCTTCTCTGCCATTGGTGGATCTTTTTGGTGAAGTTCCAAAACAAACACTGTATGCGGACATGAATCAACAGCAACAGGAGGGGGCACCAAAACCATTACTTCCAGCTGATGCGATGACCTAGTTGGATGAATTTATGGACCAGATTTGGGGCAATAAAGAAGATCCGCCCGAGCCTAGTAATTTCCATATCAACATGACATATGTGTTGTCCGCCACGTTTGGTGCCAGACCTGATCAACCCGCTACTATGGAGGGTGATTACTTGACAACTGAGCCAATGATGGCACATGTCAATGTAGAGGTAGTTGAAAAAGAAAACTCGGGCAAGGCTGAATCTTCAGAAGCATCCAAAGGTGGTCCTCTAAGGATTTACACAAACGAAATGGTGTTTAACCGCCCGAACAGCTCGTTGGCCAATCATCTGAAACCCATATATGTTACAGCTCTCTTAGAAGGTATGCCCTTCAAAAGAATTCTAATTGATGGAGGAGCAGCTGTTAATGTGTTACCAGCTAAGCAGATGAAGAAAATGGGAAAAGGCACGGAGGATCTTATTCCCACAGACCTCACGGTCTCTAGCTTCTCAGGCGCTATCACCAAGACTCATGGGATATTGCCTCTAGAAGTGGATTTGGGATCTAAACAGATAATGCTGGCATTCTTTGTGGTGGACTGCACTTCCACTTATGGGGCCTTACTCGGAAGAGATTGGATCCACCAAAGTTTGGCTATACCCTTTACTCTTCATCAACAAGTGGCTGTTTATCATGAAGCGGGCTTAGAAGGACCAGGCTTTTGGGAGATGGTAGAGGGCGAATCACGGCCATTTCTCCCCACAGCCAATGTTGCGGAAGCAAGTTTCTACAACCCCAATGTAGGAATCTTGAAGTGTTCAGGAGCTGACGAGAACGGCCGCCTTACCAAGGTGACGGCCCAAAAGCTTTTGGAACAAGGAATGCTCCTTACTAGAGAGGAGTGGGATAGACCTTGTATCCTCCCAAATCCCCTACACCATCAATGACTGAACAAAAGAAGAGAGATCAGGTAATGGCAGTCAGATCCCTGATTAAAAGACTGTTAGTGTATGGGAAAGGAAGAAGGCAAGAAAGGGAGCTCTTGGACAGGGAAGAGCAGGAATGGCAGGTGGGAACTTCAACCAGCCAGCATGAAAGCAAGGAGGAATCTTGCAGAGAAGAACTGGATAGGGCCATTCAAATGGCCGAGTGCATATATGATCTAGACAGGCCAGACGACTTGCCCGAGAGCCCGGAGCTGGTCGAATTTTTGTGTACAGACCCGGATAAGCTACCACCAAAAGTCCAGGATCCTCTGGAAGTTATTAATTTAGGAACAGAGGAGGATCCGAGACCAATACAGATCAGTAGGTTATTGGGGGTTGATGATCGGGCAAGGATTATTTATCTTTTGCAAGAATTCAAAGACTGTTTTGCTTGGCATTATACCGAGATGCCAGGGTTAGATCCAACCTTGGTGGAACATAGAATGCTCATCAAAGAGGGATATAAACCTGTCAATCAAGCACCACGGAGGATGTCAAAGAAGATAGAAGAAAAGGTCAAAGAAGAGATTGAAAGGCTAGTGAAAGCTGGCTTTATCAGACTAGCCAAATATGTGGAGTGGTTGGCCAACATTGTACCCGTTTTAAAAGCTGTAACAAAAGCGGTACGATGTTGTGTGGATTACAGAAATATTAATGGCGCTACACCAAAGGATGAGTATCCCATGCCCATGGTCGATTTATCCATAGATGCAGTAGCAAAACATAAAGTCCTATCTTTTATGGATAGGAATGCCGGGTATAATCAGATAAAGATGGCTCCAGAAGATATACATAAAACAGCTTTTAGGTGTCCCGGTCATGTGGGGGCATATGAATATCTGGTCATGCCATTCGGGCTCAAGAACGCTGGTGCAACTTACCAGAGGGCAATGAATGCCATCTTTCATGATCTAATTGGCCAGAGCATGGAGGTATACATCGATGACATAGTGGTGAAGTCCAAGACAGAATAACAGCATCTGGAAGATCTCAGACAAACATTAGCAAGGATGAGGATCCACAAATTAAAGATGAATCCAAAGAAGTGCGCGTTTGGAGTAAGAGCGGGCAACTTCTTGGGATTCCTGGTGCATCAAAGAGGTGTAGAAGTGGACAAGAACAAATCTCGGGCAATAATGGAATCACCTTCACCCACCAACAAGGTGTACCTCCAGATGCTACTGGGCAAAATCAACTTCTTAAGAAGATTCATTGCTAATCTAGCAGGTAAGATCCAGTCACTGACCCCTTTACTAAGATTGAAAGATAAAGAGAATTTCGAATGGGGACCACCACACCAACAGGCCTTTGACAGCATCAAGGCCTATTTGACTTCTCCACCAGTGTTGGTGCCACCTCAAAGGGGAAAACCCTTGAAGCTGTATATTTCTGCCTCAGAAAAGTCAATCGGGAGTTTGCTAGCCCAAAATAATGAAGGCGGGAAGGAGCAGGCCATATACTACCTCAGTAGAATTCTGACCGAGGTAGAGACAAGATATTCTCCAGTGGAGAGATTATGCTTGGCTCTATATTTTACTGCCAGCAAGCTAAGGCATTACATGTTGCTCTGTCACGTACACATCATCGCTAAAACAGATGTGATAAAGTACATGTTGTCAAAACCAATGCTAGCAGGAAGGATTGGGAAATGGATTCTAGCATTATCAGAATTCAGTTTTCAATACATACCCCAAAGGGCAGTCAAAGGTCAAGCAATTGCCGACTTTCTGACCGAGCATCAGGAATCTCCAAGTGAGGTGATCAATATCCCGGGAAGCTTAGAGGTTACTAGCATTTGGATCCCGCCAAGAGAAGATATTTCGGTCAAAGAAGACTGGGTCCAGCAAAAGATAAGAAGAGTAGCTGGTCTCTGGATCACTCCTTGGAAGTTGTATTTCGATGGATCTCACACTCATAAGGCTTCAGGAGCTGGGATAGTAATTGTAAGCCCTCATGGGGTTTATCATTATTACTCATTTCTCCTCAACTACGAAGGAAATACTAATAATCGGGCAGAGTATGAAGCCCTAATAATTGGTCTAGAAATCCTGATGGATTTGAGGGCAGCAGAGGTAGAGGTCTTTGGTGATTCAGAGTTAGTAATAAACCAGCTCAATGGTGAGTTCAAGTGCAGACATATCACTATGGCGGGGTATTACTTGGCAGCTACGCAATTATTGAGTTTTTGGGATTCTGAGATATCAGTCAATCATGTTCCCAGGGGATCCAACTTAGCGGCCAACGAGATGGCACAACTAGCCTCAGGAGTGCCAATACAGGAGAGGAAATATGGGGTAGATGTCGAGATCCAAAGAATAAACCTTCTTTCTATCTTAGAAAGGGGATTCAGTCTGGATATAATGGTTCTAGAAACCGAGATAGAAGATTGGAAGTCACCTATCGTTCATCATTTGAAGAATCCCTCTTCACCTACAAGCAAGAAGAATAGATAGCAAGCCACTAAGTATGTCTTATGGGCGAAGAACCTACTGAGAAAAACTCCAGATGGGTTACTATTGAAATGCTTAGGCCAAGAAGAATCCATGAGAGTAATGGCCGAAGTACATGAAGGAATATGTGGAGCACATCAAGCTGGGACAAAGATGAGATGGTTGCTTAGAAGGTACGGTTATTTCTGGCCCGACATGGAGAAAGATTGCAAGTCTTATGCCCGAGGTTGTGAAGAATGTCAGAGGCACGGACCTCTCCAACATGTGCCTTCAGTACCTTTAAATCCAGTAGTCAGGCCTTGGCTTTTCAGAGGATGGGCGATGGACTTCATCAGGCAAATCTATCCAACTTCTAGTAAAGGGCATACCTTCATAATTGTAGCAACGGATTACTTCACCAAGTGGGTGGAAGCATCAGCAGTAAAATCCATAAACTCAGCCACAGTCAATAATTTTATCGAGACCAAGATTCTGCACAGATATGGGGTGCCCGAAACCATAGTAACGGATCGTGGGCCATCTTTTATCCCAAAAGAAGTTGAGGAATTTGCAAGCAAGTACAAAATAAAGATGATCCAGTCCAGTCCGTACTATCCTCAATCAAATGGCCAGGCAGAAGCCAGCAACAAGATCCTGGTCAACATTATCAAGATGATGGTGATTGATAGTCCAGAAAAGTGGCATGAGAGGCTGGGGAATACGTTGTGGGCATACAGAACTTCCAAGAGGGCAGGAACTGGGACAACTCCTTATGCTTTAACTTTCGGGCAAGATGCAGTGCTCCCCATGAAGATCAATGCTAGTTCTGTTAGGATTCAAAACCAATTTGGGTTACATAGTGAAGAATACATCGAAGCCATGTGTCAAGGAATTGAAGACTTAGATGCAGCCCGAATTGAGGCTTTGAACCAGATTCAAGAAGGAAAGCGAGCCGTCGCCCGAGCTTATAACAAAAAGGTGAAGATGAAGTCTTTCAAGGAGGGAGACTTAGTATAGAAGACAGTCCTCCCGCTAGGAGCTCAGCTTCGGGGCTTTGGAAAGTGGAGCCCAACATGGGAAGGTCATTTCATTATTCGTCAGGTATTGGATAAAGGAGGATACTACTTGGCGGACCTCGAAGGAAATGGGCAGAAACATCCCATTAATGTTAAATTCTTGAAAAAATATTGTCCTACATTATGGGATGTTAGAGATTGTTACATTGAGGAGGGGGCAAAGTAAAGCAGGCTTCGGGAGTTTCATATGCAGTGTTTGTTCATCAACCATTCAAAGAGGACAGAAAGCCAAAAGCTGAAATAATATTTATTTCATGTCGACAAATTGGTGAAATTAACAAAAGATTCAATTCCTACATATTACATTTGACTCTCTCTGGATATAGTGATGTTTTCAGGTGGTTTCCGATGCCTTCATGAAAAGAGTCCAATCAGGTGATCGGGTTGTGCGGCCAACATGAGCCTGGTAGAGGATCCTCCGACAGGACCGTCACCATATGTGATGGTGAAGCCCGACTTATCACCGCAACAAGCAGGAAGACAAGCCTTCGAGAGGAAACCGCCTGACCAAGGGTGTTGGAGATAGCGGGGTGTTCGACCAAGGGTGTTGGAGATAGCAGTCCTTTGATGAAAGCCCTCTTTCTCATGAAAAGGGAGTTTTAGGAAACCCCACTCAAAGCCTGAGGAACTCATCTCTCAGTTTCTAAATGCTCGAGGAAGATGGAAGAAAAGAGTGAAGAGGATTTAATGGCTTGACAGAAGAAATTCCGAGCCATAATTTATAGAGTCCCCAGAGGATAGTTCAAAGGTCGTGAGGAGAGCAACGGGCATAGGAGTGCCTTCATCCTATCTAGAAAATACAAAGTTCCAAAAGATTGAGATACACGCATGCGGATATTCAATCAATGTTGGCGCTTGGGATTCCAACCTTAACATTAATTGAAGGGGGCACTGTTTGGATTAAAACTTGACTTTTGGGCTCAAGAAAGGAGTTGGCCCAAAAGGGGGCCCGGAAGGAAAGTCAGCCGAGGCCCGGCCGAAACCCAGAAAAGCAGAAAGGGCCTTTTCTGACTTAGTGCAGCTCATGAAGACCACTTGCTTACCTACCCAATGGCCAAGTGGTATAGACTGACCAGCTACACAGCCCATAAAGTACTTTATGGTGGCATTACATGTAAAATAGCTGATGAGTCATCACCCTCAAACCGCATTCGGGCAAGGCTGCTGCTACAGAAGGCCAAGCCGAGTTGTCTATATAAGAAGAAAGAGAAACCAGGAATAAGGACACTTAATCAAACAAACAAATGCAAGCACAAACTCTGCTCAAAGCCAGATTTGCCTTCAAAACAAAGCTGTAGTCAGCCTTCATCCCTCGCGGGATAACCCTCCCTTCAAACCTTTGTAATAGCTCTGCTACCCTGTTCAACCTTGCTGTAGTATCGATTCATCTTTTGTAATCTCTCTCTCTATCCCTCTAAGCTTTCAGACCCTTGACAAAACTACAAAGATAGGAACCTACAAGACGAGCAGCCTTACCTGATAAGGTTTAACCTTGCCCGACCTTCTTTGCTTTGTTTTTGTCTTTTCATTCATTAAGCCTAACAATATGTTGTATACTTCCAGTTATATGCAAGTTATTTCTAGCAATATGACTATTAAAAGGCTTTCTCAGTACTTGAATCCAATTTGAATATATCTTCAGTGTTCAAACCAGATCCAAGTCCTAAGCCCTCGGGCATGTAAATCTGATCAGTTAAAAGTCCTTGGCCTCAAGGCATAAAAAAGAACCTTATGTGGACTTAACCCATCCACGACAGTCCTTGATAAACGAGAAGTCCGAAGTTACTTGGGGCGCAAGTAATCGACCTACCCTCTAGTTTTATTTCTATTATATTATGATTACCATAGAACACTTGAGCATGGAATGGATTCTGATGGAAAGCCTCAAGGCCTACACCTAAGGCCCCACAAAGGCATCCATTTGGATTCATTCCGTTCTGCGATCTAGAGAGTTTGAGTATAAGAACGAACTCTGATGGGAAGCCTCAAGGCCTACACCTAAGGCCCCACAAAGGCACCTATTTGGGTTCATTCTACTTCTTGGACTCGGGTAATCAAAAGTATAATAGTTAGAAAACTTCTGCAATCACGAGAACAAATATGATGTGTTCGAGCACTGGTTTAGTTATTGATAGGAAGCCTCAAGGCCTACACCTAAGGCCCCACAAAGGCACCTGTTATAACTAACACGGTTTCTCGGATATATACATATATACAACTAAAACTCGACATCCATTTTACATCTGCCATGCTGAAGATGGCAGTGGCACGCCTGAGCACCTAAAAGTTAACCTTGATTGTGAGCCTCAAGGCCTACACCTAAGGCCCCACAAAGGCACCTCTCAAAGTTAACTCTGTCCTTCTCTTTCAGCCTTGCCCGACGAGCCTTGCCCGAAGAGTCTTGCCCGACGAGACTTGCCCGACAAAGCCCGACGGTGAAGCAGAAGCCCGACAGCAGCCCTCAACCGGCGCCAACCTCCAGGGGAGCTGTGTGCTCGTCGGCCAGGAAACATTCACGACGGAAATTCCTGACGCGAACATAGTTTTGGCACGCCCGGTGGGATTTCTACATTTGATCAGAAGATATATGTCAAAATGCCAGTGAGCAATCGAGGCATTGGTGACAAAAGATGTTGCAGCTGTGTCTTTGCCTGACAATGCTTTTCGTCCCAAAACCTTTTTGTAGGTAAACTGTTTTCTTAATGAAAACAGGGAAGTAGTTGAAGTTTCAAGCGGCTCAAGGGATGGAAACTTGATGAGGGAACAAATTTTAAGCAAACAGGAAGTTCAGAATGGAAATCAAAAGCCCAAATGGCTCGATTCATTTGTAAAAATAATCTTTTTCGATAACTGTCCAGATCATAATATACCCAAGAATGAAAGGAACATATACTGTGTTGATTGTAACACAGCAGCCTGCCAGTACTGCATTGCGTTGGGTTATCATTGCTATCACCAAACATTGAAAATTTACCGATACGTCTATCAGGGTGCTGTCGCACTTGATGCCATGAAAAAGCATATTGATTGTTCCCAAATTCAGGTACATTAATTCATTCATGTGTTTTCCTTCTTTACTACATTCTTCAATATGTTTTCCTTCTTACCGAATTCTTTAATGTGTTTTCCTTTTTCATCTGTTTCTTCTTTTTTCGTCGGTTTTTCAGCCATATAGATCCAACAAACAATTGATTTTATCTCAGACTCCACTTCCCCGCTCTAAATCAAAAAATGACTCGGACAAAAATGAAGGGTGCTGTGAGATTTGTAAAAGAAGACTACTCGAACCAGATGTCAATCGATATTGCAGTATTATTTGCAAGGAAATTCTCTGACTGCATTACATTTTATGTTTAAATTTATACTGATTTCATTTTTCTTTCAATTGAATTTGTCTAAAGTTACTGCCTAAAACTTCAGGTCAAAGCATTTTCAACAAAGGCCAGTGCTTCAGTTCCTCCATTTCTTTTCATCCAGCCTTCTAAGCAGCATAAGAGAGTTCCGAAACCTGAAAGAAGTTTATCCAAAAGAAAAGGGAAACCATCCAGAGCCCCCTTTTTCTAAAGCCTTAGGTCAGTTCACTTGCTTGATACTTAAAAACGAAAGTACTCACTCTTTGTAGTCATTTCAGTAATTAAACACTAAATTTTCTGAGTAAAGCCTGCTTCTTGTTTTTCAGGTCTTTCTTCACTCTCTCATATTAAGTCAGGAGGCAAGGTTTCTCAAAGAACTTCAAGCATGCCATCTGAACATCATTCTGCATTTTATCATGTTGCAGCAGTCGCCAGACCATGCAACCGTGTGTGTGTGAGAGAGAGTGTGAGAGAGAGAGAGAGAGACAGAGAGAGACAGAGAGATGAGCAAGACTCCGAACATTTCTTTATTAGTTCACTTTATCTGTCTGAAAGACTGAATTTCAGTATGACATTTACAGTTACTATTATCGAAGGAACAAGAATATTCGCCAATCTTTATGCATTGTCATTCCTAGGCTGCTAGCAATCAGCACAAATCATTTGCATTAGTACCCCAACCCCACCCCAATCCCAGTCCTTGTTCAGTGTCTGCAGCAAATGGAAAAAGCATCAGAGCAGTCGAACCTGAGACAGGGTTCAATTCTAGGAGGCACCAGCGAAACACAACAGGCAGAGCACACAAACAGCGGTGGAACAGTGTCAGCATCCTCAATTCCACAGCAGCGTGTATGTTGCCACACTTCGCAGATGTCACATGCCACCATCCTCTCCCCATCATCATCTCTAGCTCCGCACTCACATCTCACCATCCAAGTGTCTGATCCGCCTTCATACCTCAGTGGCGTGTCTAAATCTATCCCGCTTCCTCTCACACCAACTTCTGCTCCCGATTCAGCTACTCCAAAAAGTACTTCCATATCATCCATTTCATCCAAGCCTTCGATTCCCATGACCACAAACCGTTCTGTGATACAATAAGTATCTCTCAGTGCACTCTCAGCTGCTCGCTTTAGCTCTCCAATTGTTGCATGCAATGGCATAACTACTACTTCACCAGGCGGCAGCCCCCTCTTGAATTCGATTTCCTTATCAGTCGAGCTGGGCAAGAGTTGGCAAGAATGTCAACCACTGCTCTTCATCATCCCTAAATGGACATTCCTTCACGAAGTGCTTGGCGTCCAATACTGCTCGAGTAGCCAAATCCACTAGCTCTGATTCTGGGTATCCCAAAAGCACGTGCTCATATAGATAAAGCACATCATTGTATACATCAACTCCAGGAAATAGAGTTGCTGATTGAAAAGACTGAGCAACTATCTCTTTCCCAGGTTCCGAGACCTTAACCCCATCTGCAAGATCATGAACTGTATACTCCAAAATCCGAGTTGCTGGGTTCACTGCACGACACACAATGTGATTCCCAACTATCACATTATTCATTGATTTCAGCACATAATCCAAAAGGCCAGTATCTCCAATATGTAAGCGAGCTGCATCTCGCACATCTTGCCGGGTCATCCCACCATGACCACTCTCTTTCTTTTCTTGCAATGTATTCACAATCACATCCGCTGCAAACTCTAGCCTTCTTGTAGGCCATCTGCTATCCATGTGAGCAAGAATAGTACTGAACTTCCTGCACTTTGCAGACTTTTCCTTCATTGAGGGCTTGACCTGGAGAGTCGCTTTTGTTGCAGATTTTACAATGAAAGATGAAACTTCAGCAGGACCCATTAATGACTTCTTCTGTCCAGGAACACTGGACTTGACAGTTAGCATAAACCGGAGAAGATCTTTAATTGTGACCAATTTTGTTTCACTCAAATTTCTGTAGTAGCGGATTATCTGTTTCAGTTCTTCGCACCCGTCCATGTCAATAAAATCTTGAAGGATCCTTTCAAGTGCTAAAGAGCTGAGAATCTCTA